GGAATTTGCTGACTGGTCCCATTGTTGGTGCCGCAGTTCCTGGTCAATGAATCAGTACATCTGTTGGAGCATTGGTCAATTGACTTGTCATCTGTTGGAGCTTTGGTCAACGTGACTTGCCTTTGGCTTTTGATGCTCTGTACATATAGGTGAGGCAATGTCATGGCTGGACCCATTGTTCTGCCACAGTTCCTGGTCAATGATTCAGTGTATCTGTTGGAGCATTGGTCAACTGACTTGTGATCTGTTGGAGCATTGGTCAACTGACTTGCCTTGGCTATTTGATGCTCCATACATAAAGTGAGGAAATTTGCTGACTGGTCCCATTGTTGGTGCCGCAGTTCCTGGTCAATGTTTGGGTTAATCTGTTGGAGCATTGGTCAACTGACTTGTCATCTGTTGGAGCTTTGGTAAACTGTACTTGCCCTTGGCTTTTGATGCTTCATATATATAGGTGAAACAGACAATTGATGGCTGGAACCCATTGTTGCTGCCACAGTTCCAGTCAGTGTTTCAGTTCATCTGTTGGAGCATTGGTCAATTTGACTTGTCATCTGTTAGAGCTTTGATCAACTGACTTGCCCTTGGCTTTTGATGCTCCATACATATAGGTGAGGCAATTGATGACTGGCCCATTGTTTGTTGCCACAGTTCCCTGGTCAATGATTCAGTTTCATTCTGTTTGAAGCATTGGTCCAACTGACTTGTGATCTGTTGGAGCATTGGTCAACTGACTTGCCTTGGCTATTGATGCTCCATACATATAGGTGAGGAATTTGCTGACTGGTCCCATTGTTGGTGCGCAGTTCCTGGTCAATGTTTGGGTTAATCTGTTGGAGCATTGGTCAACTGACTTGTCATCTGTTGGAGCTTTGGTAACTGACTTGCCCTTGGCTTTTGATGCTTCATATATATAGGTGAGACAATTGATGGCTGGACCCATTGTTGCTGCACAGTTCCAGGTCAGTGTTTCAGTTCATCTGTTGGAGCATTGGTCAATTGACTTGTCATCTGTTAGGAGCTTTGGTCAAACTGACTTGCCTTGGCTTTTGATTGCTTCATATATATAGGTCGAGACAATTGATGGCTGGACCCATTGTTGGTGACACAGTTCAGTCAATGTTTCAGTTCATTTATTGGAGCATGCATTGGTCAATTGATTTGTGATCTGTTGGAACATTGATTCAGTTCATCTGTTGGAGCATTGATCAATTGACTTGTCATCTACTGTTAGAGCCTTGGTCAACTGACTTGCCCTTGGCTTTTGATGCTTCATATATATAGGTGAGACAATTGATGGCTGGACCCATTGTTGCTGCCACAGTTGCAGGTCAGTGTTTCAGTTCATCTGTTGGAGCATTGGTCAATTGACTTGTCATCTGTTAGAGCTTGGGTCAACTGACTTGCCCTTGGCCTTTTGATGCTTCATATATATAGGTGAGACAATGACAATTGATGGCTGGACTCTTTGTTGCTGCCACAGTTCCAAGTCAATGATTCAGTCATCTGTTGGAGCATTGGTCAACTGACTTGTGATCTTTTGGCGCATTGGTCAACCTGAACTTGCCGTTGGCTTTTGTTGCTCCATACATACAGGTGAGGAAATTTGCTGACTGGTCCCATTGTTTCTGCCGCAGTTCCTAGTCAATGTTTGGGTTCATCGCTCTGTTTGCTTTTTATAGGTGAGACATTCTGGAGCGTAAGGCTTCTTCTGATTGTGGTTGACTGGATAAGTTGGGTGCCAAGGATGATTTTTGCTAGCGAGAATGCGCAGCTTGCTGAATGAGTGCGACAGGAAGGACACCTATTAGTTTTTGAAGTGCCACCCCCATCACATCAAGGTCCAACATCAATTGCTCAGCGGTGCAGTGTTGAATACTATTTGATGCATGTGGCAAGGGTATACGTCCTGTACCCAGATGTGTCTCAGGTAAGCTTATATCATATATTCTACATTTGTGAACTTGCTTGAAAGAACGAATCTTACAATGGTTTACAGTTCTATGTGGCGGCTCAACTGAAAACAGTTCCGCATGGACAAGAGGAAAGATCATGGTTGGCTATGTCAGCGCTGCAAATAAACGATTGGGTGGAAGACAATTGATTGAGGTGCATGTGATACAACCAATTCATCTTAGAAGCGCATCTGAAGGTAGGATACCAATCTACAAGGTAGGTTATCGATTAAAGTCGAAGGTCGACCCTACGATACAAATCGTGAAGGGAGGTTGCGGATTATGCACCGAAGCTTCTGGTTCCCCATGAAACAGTACTTACAAATCCGTTAAAGGCATGCTCAATGATCCAGTACGGCCCGTTTAACAAACCTACACCCTCGTTGTTCACAATGCGTGTGGTGGACACCGTGCATAACTTGAAGCATGTCTGGTCATTGGTAATTAAAAAGGTTCGGCTTTAAATAGTTCTTCCCTCCGAACAAAGATGTTTACCGTATAAAGCAGGATCCAGTACCTAGCCGAATGGAAGGGCAATTCCTACTTAACAGTCATGCAAAGCATCCACAAAAAAAACGGCAAACGTGCTTCCAAGTTAAGAGTTCCTAGGATAATAATCACTAAGTACAGTTCGGGAAACTAGACGAAAAGAGGGGAAGATTGGGAAAATATTGGGGTTAGAATCTTTAAGGATACAACTGGCGAATACTGCAGCGAGAAGTTTCGAACAACAACAATCGGGAGACAAGATTGTCATGGTTAACAGGAATAAAAAGGGGAGAAAAGGTTACCGAATAAGTAACTGAACATCGCATCGATAGAAAAGGTGCGGCAAGAACACAGGGTGGCATTGGATGCAACAGCTCACCTATATGTATGGAGCATCAAAAGCCAAGGGCAAGTCAGTTGACCAACGCTCTAACAGATGACAAGTCAATTGACCAATGCTCCAACAGATGAACTGAAACATTGACCTGGAACTGTGGCAGCAACAATGGGTCCAGCCATCAATTGTCTCACCTATATATATGAAGCATCAAAGCCAAAGGCAAGTCAGTTGACCAAAGCTCCAACAAATGACAAGTCAATTGACCAATGCTCCAACAGATGAACTGAATCAATGCTCCAACAGATGACAAATCAATTGACCAATGCATGCTCCAACAAATGAACTGAAACATTGACCTGGAACTGTGGCAGCAACAATGGGTCCAGCATCAATTGCCTCACCTATATATGAAGCATCAAAATCCAAGGGTGCGATGATAGTGCTCCAGCCTTGAATGGCTCATGGTATCTTTGGTTAGTGTTGCCAGCATTGGCAACAACTTTGTGCAACCTACTGACACTTTTGGCCCATGAAATATTGATTGCATGGACATCATTGTCCACCTAGAAATAGCTAGCTAAAACCTGCTAAGCCTCAGTTATTTGGAATTGCCAGTATTGTCGCGTGGTAGCATGCGAGATACCTGATCTCCACCACAGCTTATTCCTCTGCTAAGCTTGCTTCGGTTTTGTAATAGCGCAAAAGATTGATTGAGATCTCTTGCACGTATTACCAGCGAACCAGTCCTACAAGGAAGCAATTCCCAAAATAGTAACTCGTACAAAGAAATTTAGAAGCAACCACTCGACACTTCCACCACCACGAGAGCAAACCTATCGACACTCTCAACCAGAGAGCAAACCCATTGACACTCTCACACAATCGAAAGATGCTTTCGACACCACAGCTAGTAGCCACCCTTACAGTGTGGAAGCAACGCAGATTTGTGGATTTGCTGACACAACGAAAACTGAACTTGCGACCGATTCGAGCTGAACCAAGACAGTCGCCTATCAACCAAGACCTCCTCTACAACGTGGTACCATTATCTCCTTGTTGATCGCCTTGGTTACAGCAGCTGATAGTGGAATAGACCGCCATTGTGGACTTTTCGCAAAATCAAGTCAAGTGTACTGGACAATTTCAGTGTACTGGACAGTTCTGAAAGCAAGCAGAGCCTTCCATCTGAATCCTTCCCACATTTCCGTGGATATTCTTCTTCTCGGAGCGTCAACCCACTCGGAGCTTCAAAAGATACTCAAAAGATACTCTATCTCAAACACCCACACACACACACACACACGGATACACTACCACAGACAGCTACCAGCATCTTCGTTTGGAGACCACACTAATTTCTACAGTAACTTGCGTCGTTTATTCCTCAGCATTAAGATTTCTGCTGAATGACCCAAAACTCACCCAGCAACTCATCTGAATCTGAATCCAACGACTCCAACCAACCAGAACCTCCAACCAGCAGCCTCTACGAGTTTGTTTCCAGTCTCATCTCACCTGCTGCAGCAAACGTTTCTGGTGATCCAGACTCTCTAACCTTCTCGTTCGATTCCAACCAACATGACGCCGAAACCAACATGGCTGAACCTGCCCCCACCATCGCTCAGACTTTCACTCAAGACCAGCTCCTTGAACTCCTGAGGGCCGCTGGACGACAGCGGGATGCATTTCCTACTCTCAAGCAGCCCAGGGTCGGAGGACTCAATGCGACTGGAGCTTGGACTGGACATGGAGTCGGCGGCGAAGGAACTTCTCCCATGAGCGCCCAGTGCATGAGAGACTTCAAGACGGATGTAATCAAGAACCATCAGGCTCTCTCTCCCATCGAACTGAAGTGCAAAGAGGGACTGAGTGGCTCACCCGACCTTCTGTTTAATCTCCCTGGTGAACCAAACGCGGATAAGGTAGTGCCATCGCTTATTGCTCTAAGCGAGTTCATGATCTCAGTTGGTATGGAAAGCGTCTTTAGAATCATTCAGACCGATGGCACTCAGTTGGACATCCTTCTCCAATTTGGTATGGTTTCCAGCGACATTGAGCGAACCTGGCATAAGGATCTAACTGTCAATGGAGTTATCAAAGTTGATGATCAGGGCCGTCCTGTCATGGCCAACGGTGCTGTCGATCGTTTTGCTCAGTGCTCATATGATGCCCAGAACCTGCATTGGTCGGGTGAAGCTGTGCTCAACTCTTGTTCGCCAACACTCATGTAGGACCTTAAGCAAGTCATGCCAAAGCTCGCTGATCGAACTGGTCCCCATGTCCTATTTACCATTCTGAAGAAGATTTACCGCCCATCCAGCTCCAAGATCAAGAGTCTTGTCAACAAGCTAGAGGCACTCAAGTTGACAGATTACCCTGGGGAAAATGTTTCTCACTTTGTCCACGATGCATCTGCTATCGTCCGGGAAATTCAGATGAACCATATGCCAAATGCAACAGTCCCTGACTTGACAACTTCGGTGCTCAAGGGTCTTACCACGGCAAGCGACCCATTGCTTCTCCAAAGTATGAGAGAGCTTCGTCTTGCCAATGATGTCAGTGGATTTGATTCGACTAACAAACAAGTGATGGGTCCCATCGCTGCTCTTCGCAAAGGTGAAAACCTTTACACCGTGCTGGTCTCTCAAAGTGACTATGCACCTGCCCAGCAGATTTCTTCTGATATCAAGCACAAAGCTATGCTAACCCAAATGGCTGCCATGGTGGCTAAAGAATTGAAGACCACACTTACTCAGGACAGGTCTGCAGGTGGCGGCAGCGGTGGTGGCAGTGGGAGCAGCAGTATCAAATGTTGGACATGTGGAGGTGACCACATGCAACGTGATTGCCCCAAGTCTGGCAGCAGCTCTGGATCTAGTGGCAGTAACAGTTCCACTGGTCGTGGCATCGCCAAACATGGACTGGATGAGGCCACTATTGCAAAAGTGAATGCCCAGTGCAAGGAAGTATACAAGACAATGCCTCAGCTCCATACCAACATTCCGGACGATGCCCAGTACTCTGTCGTCATTGAAGGCAAGACCCTGGCCAAGTTCTGTCGTCACTGTGGTCGCTTCTCCAAGGGAGCCAGTGCCCACTATACGAGTGAGCACAAGGGAGCTAATCGAGTTGAATATGTTCCCGCTAGTGGTGCTGAATCGCCCCCTGCTGCTGTTGTACCACCACCCCCACTGGACACAGGGGTCACTGCTGGAGGAAATCTTTGTGGTGCTGTTCGATTTGCTGATGCTCCAGTTATTGATCCACAGGAGTTCATGCAACGGGATGAAGTCAACTATGATATGGGCAGTATCCCAGTTGTCGACCATCACTTGGCTGAAGCTTTGGAGGAAGACGACGAGTTTTCTTTCCTGTCTCTGCTTTAAAAGGATACGGCAGGTAGGCCTATTTGCATATGGCCTACTGATTGTCGTTTACTTGCACCATGTCGGATATTACGGCTTATCCCTGCAGCCAACACATGCTATGGAGGGAGATATTCATGGACCTGAACATACCATGTGTTCCTCTCAGGAAAAGCCAGCTCTGCCATCCCTATGGAGATTCACTCAGTAGTCCTCAACATTTTGGACTCCAATTGTCCCAAGTCTCAGCTCGTTTGTATATCCCGCATCCATTGGTTTTCTCTTTCACTCAAGCTGTGTCCACCTACATCACTGGTTCTACAATTGGGTGCTAGCTCTTTTTGGCTTGTGTTGGGTATCGTGGGCGCTTCGCTGCACCAAGACTATCATTCCCACTTTCGACACCCTCACTTTGGCAGATACCTATTCCAGTCTTCCGCCTCCTGAACGATGGAAAGGTTCCCAATGACGTGCACAGGCTCGCCATGTTCCTTTGCTTCTCCAAGCAAAGACTATTAATGATGATGGGACTCCTCAGCTCGTCAGTGTGTCACTCACAGCCCATTGCCCTGTCCCAGGACTTGGCTTTTGAGAAGCGTCTGAAACGCCTTAGGAGCCATAAAGGCGCACTTCGAACCAACAAGTTGAATGACAATGACCGTCTTTCTTTGAATATGCTTTTGGGAGACACTAAGCAGCAGTTTGGAGTTGTTACTAAGGGACACCCAGATGCTTTCAGTGCTATCATTGACACTGGATGTTCTTTCTCAGCTACCAACAGCTTTGATGATGTGGAGGCAGGATCTGTCAGAAAGCTAGCTGAACCAATTCGCCTGGGTGGAATTGCGGGAAGTCTCATGGTTGAATATGTGGGCAATGCTACATGGGAACACCCAGATGCTTTCAGTGCTATCATTGACACTGGGTGTTCTTTCTCAGCTACCAACAGCTTTGATGATGTGGAGGCAGGATCTGTCAGAAAGCTAGGGGTTTAATTACTTATTTAGGTTAACAACCTATTGGGTCCGGAGGACCCTTTTCTACGCTGGCAATAGTTGAGCCCGAGGGCCCAAATAGCTGAGTCGTATACCATTGATGAATTGCACGATAGGAAGATTCACGGTGCACACCAAGCGTCAACACTGAAGGAGGATATGCCTCATAGTAGCACGGCTACACTATCCTATAGTCTCACCGCCGTTCACCTCCGCCCCATGAACAAGGGGCAGGTCCCTACGGCTCTACTTACAACGGAAGTGTGCATCTTCCCATCATGACCTGGAGCACGGTGGCCTAGCCATGATTTAACCTATTAGAAGGGCGCTGATCGACAACAGTCATCATCGATCCACCTCCACCACAGGTGCGTCTGAGTGATCAGGTCCCATTGCCTTGTCGTGCAAGGCAAGATGCCAGCAGAGTCCATAGGCGGTGGCACACCTAAGGCTGGACCATGTCAGGGTATGACCTATCCAGTGGGCGAACAATGTCAGGCAGAAGCCGACAAAGAGCCATGCGATAGGGCCAAGTGACGCACTGGCAGGCAGTGGCTCCCAAAGGGTAGGCACAGTGTCTGTTGGGGCGGTGTGGACTGTAAGAGGGATTGTGGGGTGGATGTTGGAGGGGTGGTTGTGGGCTGTAGGTGGTATGGTGCTGGAGGGAGGAGGGTAGGATGTGTTTGCTGTGGGAGGCATGATGATTGGTTGATGGAAAGGTTGTTGTATCGTGTAATGTTGACTGTCGGGTCGTTGCTGCAACTCAAGCACAGGGATTGCTTGTGAGGTGGAGAGGAGGATTGATTCGAAGGAATCTATTCAAGGAGGCCAATGCTCTGGGGCACTGGCAATCAGGGTATGGATCAAAGCTGTTGGGTGGAGATGGCCACTGGTTCAGAGGCTGGGTCCCAATCTAGTACAGTTACCACAAACTGCAAAAGGAAGGGATCAAAGCCAAAAGACTGATAGGGATTTTTTCAGGGGAAACTGGAGAAGTCACGCTATAGCCAGTAGAGACAGTGGTGGGGGGATCAAGGGGTGTTGTTGGTTGATGAGGCTGTGTTACTGGTTGACACTGTGTTGTCTCAAAGGCTGGTACTCAATCTGGTGAAGCCACCACAGACTTCAACAGAGAGTCAAGCCAAGATTTGTAAAGGGTACTCGATTCAGTGGAATGGACAAAGACTCAGGAGTCACTCAACAATCAGCTAGAGAGGTAATAGAGTCAGGCGGTGGTTGATATCTAAGCCACACCACGCTGCAGTTCTGTCTGGGGCTCAATCCTTTGGAGTCAGACACACTCAGTAGGAGAGTCAGGAGCAGGAGCAGAGAGGTGGCTGGTGCAATAAGGGGGGTGTTACACAATCTAGCTGTGATGCTAGAGGGGCAACTTTTGTTGGTTCTTTGTGGGGGTGAGATCCTTTGGAGAGGAGCTGGATATCCCAGGGGGGCTGTAAACCAACCAAGAAAGCAGCCGAGCCTGGAGATAGCAGACCTCAAGTCCTTACAGGAACTCTGTTGTTGTTTGTTGTTCCTCTGGGAGAGGAGTTAGATATCAATGGGGGAGTGGTAACAGTAGCAGGAGGTATCAGTACCAACAAGGACGTCGGGAGAAACCACTAGTGGCCGGTGAGAAAGTAAGAATACAGGTGTAATTCTCTTCTCGGTGGTCACTGCAGGTATCTCGTGAAGTCCTTCTTGATGAGATGTCGTTCGATCCGTACGGAGGAAGAGGTACAGTACGGAGAAGAGGTACGGTCGCGGGAAGATCGATCGATTCACGGAGGTGAGTCTTGTCGGCGGGATTCAGCGAGTCCAGGTTGCCTTAGGAATAAGGTTAACCGAGCCTGTTGTTGTGGAGGAATAAGATCGTTCGATCGTACGAAAAAAGGGGGCGACAATGGGATTTCGACGGCCGTCAGGAGCTTATTTCAGAAAACAACAAATACGTATGGGAATTGTTTTCTGTACTGTGCTGTGGAAGACCGGAGACTTCTTCTTGTGTTCAAATTCTTCCAACTTGGCCGTCAGCGGTCGAGAATGGAAAACCCGCCCGATCTCGTAGGATTTCAATTGGGATGGCTTTCTGATCTGAACCGGAGAACGCCGCTTTGATAGTCGCTTGATAGGAGAGGTGCAGGAGATAGGAGTATCGATCCTGTCGATCCTTTCGGCTTGAATGAGAGATAAAGAGAGGGGAAAAGGATGTATGTTTTCCGTGATGACGTTGAGTGGATTCCTATAGTAAAACAGTACTCTTCAATGAAATAACAGATAACAAGCTTCCTGAGGTCCTTTCGCTTCGTTTCAATGCTTCCAATGGGTCTAATAGGTGTGGTGGTGATGGTATAGAAGTGACCGTCGTATTGTTATCGTTGCTATTAGTGTTGTTGGTTGACAGATCCAGCGGCAGGAGTCAGTAGTTGCTCCCGCTTGGAAAAGTGGATCTGTCAGAAAGCTAGCTGAACCAATTCGCCTGGGTGGAATTGCGGGAAGTCTCATGGTTGAATATGTGGGCAATGCTACATGGGAAACTCTTGACGACAATGGCAATGTTGTTCCATTTCCAGCTAAGGTGCTCATCCATGAAGACTTACCTCATCGTCTGGTCAACCCCCAGACCTTTTTGGACCATCAATCTGCTGATGAAAAGTGTGACACTATTGAAGACCACTTCAGAGTTTATCGGTCTCACTCTGAATGGTGGACTCAAGGTACCAAAACATTGACCATGGGATACGACTCTAGTTTCTTACCTCGTATCACTCTCTTTCCAAAAGGCAAGGCTGTTCCAACATTGGAAGCAATGACTTCTGCTCTCCACTCAGGGAACCGAAACTTGCCAACTATGAAGAAGCACTGGCTCAAGTGGCACACCAGGCTGGGACATATTGCCTTTTCACATGTCAGAAAGCTTGCTCTTGGAGGATTCCTAGACAATGTTGCCCTTGGTCTAAGCCATTCCAAGGTACCTACTGCTCCCTTATGTTCATCATGTCAGTTTGGGAAGCAAACCAGAAGGCCTGACGGTAGCACCATCACAAGGAAGAAATGAGCGAAAGTTGGAGTCCTCAAGGAAGGACAACTCAAGCCCGGTGATTGAGTGTATTGTGATCAATTGGAGTCACACCTCCGAGGGAGGCTGTTCCATACGGCTGGAAGAGAGCCCCACAAAGACAAGTACTGTGGAGCTACCATCTTTTGTGATGCTGCATCTGGTGTCCTTCATGTTGAATGTCAGGTAACCCTCAACGCCTCAGACACCATCAATGCTAAGGACAGCTTCGAAAGATTCTTTCGAGAACATGGTGTGGAGGTTGACTCTTACCATACTGACAATGGCATTTTTAAGAGTAGCCGATTTGTCAATGAAATTATGGAGAACTCTCAGTCGATTCGTTACAGTGGAGTGGGTGCAAAATGGCAGAATGGTGTCTCCGAGGGAGCCATTCGAATCCTTGTGTCAAAGGCACGAACAATGATGATCCATGCGTCTCTCCATTGGCCTGAAGCAGATGACGCCACTCTTTGGCCCATGGCACTCCGGCATGCTGCCTATTTGTACAACCACACTCCCAATGAAGCAAGTGGAGTTGCCCCTATTGAGATTCTTTCCCGTACCACATCGGATTGCCAAGCCCTTCGTTTGTCCCATCCATGGGGTTGCCCAGTCTATGTTTTGGAACCCAGGCTTACTGATGCAGGTGGCAAGATTCCCAAGTGGCAACCAAGGTCCAGAAGAGGACAGTACATGGGAGTATCTCCAGTCCATGCTGAAAATGTGGCAGTTGTGAAGAATCTCCGCACTGGTTACCTCTCACCCCAGTTTCATGTTGTTTTTGATGACTGGTTTGAGACAGTGTTTTCTCCTGAGGAGTCACCCCCTCCTCAATGGAATGATCTCTGCATGTTTGAGAGGTTTGAGACCCATTTTGATGAATCTCCGCCTCCACTCCAAGATGAGTGGCTCTCCCCTGATGAGATTGAACTCAAGCAGACCCGGAAACAGTCCCGTCCCTTGCAACA